AAGTAGCAACATTGTCTGCTGCATTGCTCATATCGAATCCTTCTAAAAGAAATTTGATGGCAACATTTGATTTGTCTCCAAATCTTCCGGTTGAAGATAACCGGTTGAGTGCGTGCATTTTCTCTTTTCCTTGCATTTCGGACCCGTTGGTTATTCATCCCCATTCAAAATTTTTTCTCTTGTGAAGAAATCCAAGCATTGCGAAAAACTTAATTGGATAGTTCTCTGTGGTATGGGGATCCAAAAAAAGGATCGAAGGTTACTGATGAGTATCCACAGTATGTGCACTTTATCGTGGATTTTAATTGACCAACGAAAGCATCTAAAACCTTATAGTAATACGTGTTATACATGTTTGATGAGCGTTCAAAATTGTTTTTCAGTCTTCTTTCTCCGATTCAAAAATTTAGAATTGATGAAAGAAAATTGAAATAATCTCGAAAAGTTATTTACAAAAAAGATTCTTTTTTGAATTGCACTCCAACTGAATTTTTTTATTTCTTTCGCTGAATGAATACATTCTTTTTGAATAAACGAAAAAAGTTAAATGGTGGTTGAAAACTAAAAATCTCACTGGATGGATGCGAGAGATGAATTAAATCGAAATGAAGGGGAATCACAAATCTTCTACATTGACAAAATACTCAATGATGAACGAATGGGAATTTTGTCACCCGATTTTCTGTTCGATACTGGTAAGAGAATCTTGTATTTCAGCATACCAAAATCCAAGCGGTTGTGGGTTTCGTTTCGTAATGCCCATATCTATTGACTATTCATTACAAGTTCTTTCCCGGTAAGGTTGGGTCAAAGGTTAATTACGTGTGTGACTACGAATGATAAAACATTGCACAAAATGTTTCAAAACATATCATGAAATACTGGCGGTCAGTAAGCTACTTAAGTAAACGAATTATGTATAAGAAAAATGCATAATTTTCATGAAGTCCTCCAATTACGTCAACTATGACAATGGTTTATGAATTTCACGGCACAAAAAATTGAATAACAAGCAATTTATATAGGTAGGTATATTCGGATTAATATCTTTCTTCCAGGAAACAATATGAGGAATCGAAAAAACAGATCAATTTTATTGTCGAAAAGGACACATTCCAGGACTATTTGCAGACCTCCTGGTTCAACCCCCTAGGTGGAGTAGATGTTACCCTTAGAATTCTGAATGAGAAATGGGATCAAGTGGCTCATCATTTTGATTGACGTTCAATTCTGCTTCCAATGGTACCTTGACTTATCATTTCTTGATGAGCATTTTCCGAAAAATTGCGTTCTGAACCAACAGAAGTAATTATAAGTACGCCTACACTGAGACCAGATTGACCAGAACTGGTAAGAGTATTAGGTGGTACCGTTTCAACCCTTTGTTAGGAGTACCATCAGCCATTAGCTCCAATTAATTTACATCAGAAAGTAGTCTGATAGCAAAACATAGATGGAAGTACAGCTGTGTTTGGTAAATGCAGAATTTTTAATTCTCATCGCAGAAAGTGTACAGATGGCCGTCTTTTTAGGTATGTGCTTGATTTGGTTAAGAAGTTTCACGAAATTGTTGCAGTGACAAATAAGAGAAGATATAACACCAGAGTATTGAATGAAGCAGCTCAAATTGAAGGTTTGGGAACATTTGCTGCAGAGCCCCCAAAGCTCCTTACGATCATCATTAGAACAGACGAGAATATCACGCGATACTATGAGAAAAGCATTGAAAATGCATAAATTTCATCGTTATAAAATACATATTCATCAAGAGCTCCACGAGGATGTTTATGATAGACGAATAGAGTTTTGTGAAATAATGTATCATCGAGACAATACCATTCCTAATCTTCTGTTAAACATCTGTTTCAGCGATGAGTGTTCATTTTTTCTAAATGGCAATGTAATTAGACGAAATTGTCGCTATCGAAGTGACTGAAACCCATATATTTTTCGGGAGGGGCATACACAACACTCACAAAAAGTTAATGTTTGTGCTGGTATTCTTGGAAATACTATTATTGGTCCATTATTTCTGGAAGAAAAGTTGACAGGCAACCTGTACCTTGAAATGCTTGAAGAAACTGTCTGACCTCTCATAACTCACGAACTAGAAACTCAAATGAATGCAAAAGGTTATGATATTTTGCAGGAGAATCTGTTACATTTTCAGCACGATGGTGCTCCATCTCATTATATTTTTCCGTCCAACAGTGGTTACAGGAGAGATTTCCGGGTAGATGGATTGACAGAGGGGGAGCAGTTGAATGCCCTCCGACATCACCGGATTTAACACCCTTGGATTTCTTTCTTCAAGGGCATATTGAATACGTTGTTTATAAAACACAGCCTTCTAATATTGAAGAACTTTAAAGACGAATTACAGTAGCATGCCAGTCAATTGCTAATGAAGTTTTTCGTAATGTTAGAGGGGTGTTCGAAAACAAACTTTATTGCTGTTTGGAGCAAAACGGACGACATTTCGAGCACTTTATAAGATAAGCGTAGGTAGATTTCATGTTTGAAATGTCATTCTGGCAAATTGAATTTTATTTTGTGAAAGGACAATAAACAACAAATTAAAAATGCCATGCGTAAAACATTTATTCCTGTCATTCAAGGGTTGGAACGGTGCCACCTACACTTCTAACTATTCTTATTAAAAGAAGTCAATACAATAATGCATCGCTAAACTTACATGTGTAAGTTTAGAACGCATTTTTTCAGAAACTGCTCATCAAAAAATAAAACGTCAATGTGTCATTGGAAGCAGAATTGAACGGCAATCAAAATGATGTGCCACGAGGGGAACAAATATTTTCTGAAAATGTCACCCTTGACGATGAAATTGACCTGTTTTTTTGATTCCTCATATTATTTACTGGAAGAAAGATATCAAGGGTGGGAAGTTTATCAAGATGATCCTTATCGAAAACTGTTCTTGCTCTAACAATGAGTCTATAGAAATGAACAATTCAATTGGCATGGTCTTTTGACATTTATGTTATGCTAGAGGCTACTTGCACACACTCAAATTTGGACTCCAATGGTACCGACCATCATAGTAGCAGTGATCGGTTGTCACATGGAAATCGTGCCATGACAATTGAGGATCACTCTGCATGAGGCTTCTGATACGCTTGTCTTCTTGAATCCTGTGGTTGCGTGATGCTGCTTTTGGTAGTTGCAATTCAAACTGAGTTACAGGAAGCTGTGAACAGTGGAGGATATCAAAGGCTTTCTTTTGTATGTGGCCAATCCGATAGTATTGAGCAGTTGATTAGTTGACTTGTAAATAGTCTTAGTGTTGTGACGTTTGAATAGGATGTAGAATACGTTTAATCTTTTGCACTGTTGGCTCAATGACTTGTAGAACTTCGATCTAGGTCATGGAGTTCTTATTTCCTTAAAGAAGATATAGCTGACTCCCAAGTTCTGGGGTGTCGAAAAATAAGGGTTCTCATCTCTTGGCACGTTTTTGCACTGGACGGTGGTTTGAGTTCTTGTCAAGGTATTAATCAGTAAGACAAGGATTGCGATGAACTCTGTGACATAGTTTTCTACGTGAGGTCCTCTGAGAAAAACTGCTCAATCTGCTCCAACGTGTCCTTTGTTAGTACCATGGTTGAGATAGAAACAACATCAAAACTAACCAGAATATAATTCAACTGAAGGTTCTCGATGAAGTTGAATGAACTTTTTTTTTTCATAGGTGTGGCTATAGTAGGTTCGGTGAGTATTTCGCAAAATGATGAGAAGGTGAATCAATGGCGTTGGCAATTGGACGAAATGGAAAGTTTATATAAGGAATCTAAGGAAGGTCGTAGAGTCTAGATGAGGCTTCAGACTTCTTGAGTTAGCGCTTGTTTTCAGTTGAAATTCAAAAATATTCTATGAGTTATTTTCAGTATCTTGGATTTAAAGTCACGCTTGAGCATCTTTTAGGTTACTGGTAGTCCTTTGTGTCCAGAACTGCCGTGACGTTATCCTCAGTTGTTCGGGAGCTACACGTTTTTTCTCGCTGATGATTGATGGCGTTCTAGAGAATACGCGCAGAATATCCTCGTATCCCCCCGCTTTTCCTTGCGTGCAATACTCTAATGGATGATTTGATATTTGCCACTATGTCATCGACCGAAAGTTTAGGAGAAACCACAGCAGAATTTCAACCTTTGGCAAGAACTAAATATTCAACTTCCATCAGAATGCGAGTTCAATTATTGACTACAATTCAAATTTTGTCCGACGTTGGTGATGGAGCTGATGGCAAGGGAATATTCAATTTTGTTTTCTGGAGTACTGTGGTGTAAGATGCTCGTGCTGAATCAGGATTGTAAGTGATACGTTCTATCTTGTTACAGACCTCTATTTTCATTCGGTTGCTCAAAGACAGGTGAAAAGATCATACATCTTGATCAATTGAAGAAAGCTTCTCACGACTGTGATGGAGCAGCTCTCGCAGTTAAACTCATTCATTGCTGTGGTGAATCCAATTGAAGAAGAAAATTCGGGATAACTTCAAGGTGTTGAACTTTTTCCCCGTAGATATAACATGAGAATCTATGCTCTCACGATCTAAGTCACGAGAATGTAGCGTAACCTAAGTAAATATATAGATAACTACGCCCAACGATTTCAATTTTTTTTTATCTGATCAATACCGTAAATTGCTGGGGAGAGTAGTGTGATGTACATGATCTACATCATTATTATCTTTTTTTTTCAAACAGAACATTTTAACATAATTTGTTTTTCAAATTTTCCAAAATTGAGCGTTTGAAGTTGATTCATCCAGTCAAACAGAAAGTTTCATTAGTCGATTACTAACATTTTGCCTGAAAAAATCGTCGTCAATTCAGACAGTTATGGATCTGACTATCAAATTTGAAGTGAATCTCAAAAGTACCCCAGTTGAGTTCTGTAATGAATTAAATTTACTCGTATAAAGCAAATTTTGAGTCACACTATCATGCATAGTTTTTTGATTTTATTATGTTGTGTAGCTCTCAGAATTATCATCAACAGTCACAACTCCTTACCTCACAGAACAACCAGAACTGAGTATGACAAGCAAATCTCCTAATGATACCAACACAACAGAAACTAACAGAATTATTGAATTCGTCATGACCTTAAACAATAGTACAAACACCATCAATGGAATGGGTAGATTTCCCAGACAGGAACAGAATGACACTGAAGATGATCCCGAATTTGCAAGTAGAGAAAAAGAATCTCAAGAAGATGGCAGTGATGAAGGGAATGGAAATATGATAACTGGACTTTTATCAGCATTTCTGGGAGGTTTGAGTAGGGTAAATACATTTCAGTGAGTTGATATATGAATGCCGTAGTGTCAATTTGTATTCTAGCCAGACGGAGGCATTGATTTGGATGCTATTGTTGGGCTATTAGGAAGTTTGAGTACGGTGAGTTTCATCTATTCAGAAATGAGTAAATATATTCCATGAAAATTGATGTGACTAAGTATATATTTCTTCAGCAAAATCCTGATGGAACGTATGATTTTCAAGGACTAACAGATCTTCTGCAAGGATTCTTTGGTGTGAGTTTCATCATATCAGAATGGATTATTGTATATTCTATATTAACATGTTTTCTCCTGAATACAGGGCGGAGATGGAGCTGGTGGTTCAGATATCGGAGCGTTTGTAGGAGGTCTCCTTGGAGCAGTTATCAAAGGAGTTGCAAATCCACCAGGACCAGTAAGTTTTCACAAATATGACGTAATTCCCCTAGATATTTTCCTGACTTTTTCCTATGGGTATTCTGAAAAAAATTAATTATACGTGTCTAGGACGTTTTTCGTTTGGAAATCATGAAAATCATTTGCAATTTTGGAAAACACTAAAAGTTCTACCAAAACCCGCAAAAATTTCACAAACAGTAAATAATGACATTAACAAAACATAAAATTTTTCGAAGATTGAGTAAAACTGGCTTGGTATAATTCATGAAAACTATATTAATAATAATTGATACAATTCACTCAAAGATTGTCACCATAAGGGTTTGAAGGAAACTGTGACATATGTTTTGCTATACACTAGGTTCCTCAAGTGAGAATGTTCAACATTGAAAACTTTCACAGTGGAAATCTTGCAGAAAATTTGATCAGTCATCATAGAAGTGTCATCTAATATTGAACGTACATAGGACAAAACAAAAGATGAAATATAATTGTGATCAATAATTTCGATAAGAAACAATCGTATAGAAATGATTCTTCCATAGTTAGTTTGTACAGCATATACAGTGTCATCCGTAAAGTTCGCGACATATGGACGTTCTTTATTAATAGATATAATGAAATTTTGACTTCGCAGTTAGTTTGTGCTTGAAAATTTCATTAGGAACAGCCTCTCTTCTTCTGTTATGTGCTACTCTAAGCCTGTCAAATTCGACATTTTTTTCGAAAATCCTCAAAAAATCAGTTTGTGTTTTGAGAATTTCAAAAAATGCAAGAGAAGAAATTGCTTGGTTCCCAATTAACCCTTGCTCGAAATTTGAGCCCACATAAATTTTTTTCCATTTTGTTTTTTTGAAACGTTCGCTCTATTGATTTGAACGAAATATGATTGAAATTTCATAATTCTGATGAATACAAGACTTCAATGCCATATCTTGCCCAGAAAATACCCGAATTGGCCTNTGATGAATACGAGACTTCAATGCCATATCTTGCCCAGAAAATACCCGAATTGGCCTGTTACTAGAAAATTCAATAAATTCACCTCCAAAAATTCGACTTTGTTCGTGTAAAGTTCATCTAGTTTTTCCATTTTACTGTTAAATCGATTTGAAATGTCAATGTATGGACGTTAATATATCAGTGATCGAATAAGCGTATTTTTCTTCATTCTCATTACACTCGTATTTTTTTTGCAGATTTGTATCCCATCAGTTGCAGATGAGTTCGATGTGAACTGTTAGAAGTATTTATAGAGCAAATAATAACGCTACACGGGTTAATTTCATGAATCTATCTTTACCATTAGATGTGTAAATAACATTAAACCAAAATTAACTATACCCAAATTCACAACAAAATATAGTAACATTCATTGATTTATCTCAATAATCTTATGAAGAACTCATTTCCATACGGAAGCGCAGAAGGGCCAAATATTTTCATTATTTGTTTCTTGGAAATTACGAAGTCGAAATTTTGAGATTAAAGACGAAATTTCGAGATTAAAGTCGAAATTTCGAGATTCAAAGTCGTAATTTCCAAGAAACGAATAATGAGAAATTTCGAGTTTGAAGTCGTAATTTCGAAATTACGAGATTGAAGTCGAAATTTTGAGATGAAAGTTGAGATTTCGAGATTGAAAGTCGTAATTTCCAAGAAACGAATAATGAAAATATGTGGCCTTTTGTGCTTCCGTATTTTCAAGCACAAACTAACTGCAAAATCAAATTTTCATTACCTGTATCTATTAATAAAAAAAAACTTTCATATGTCGCGAACTTCATGTGTGACACTGTATATTCTTGATACAAATGAATGATATCATTCGTGGAAAAGCTTAGTGATATATGAAAGTTGATCGTTATAGAAATTCTTCTACAAAAATCTCAAGAACAATACTATTATTTTAGACGATAACATTAGTTTTCAACTCCTATCATAAACTTCTTGAAAACTTCTCACTCAGTTCCTCAGAAAACCCATTTTTCAACATTGTAAACAATTATTCAAACAATTAATCAATATAACTAGTAGCATTGAATCAATTATAAAACCGGTTACACAGAAATTTTCAGAAATCAGTTGTTTTCTTCAAGTTTCCATTCGAAAAAAACTTCCGTTCAGGATTTACGTATCTCCTTACAAATTTATTATTGGTTAATCTTTTTTATTCAGAAATTCTCAATGCTTCTCATATTAAAAAAAGGTACTAAACTGAAAATTAATTTTTCTCAGAGAATCAACATCATCTAACAATACTTACTTTCTGATAAGGTCATTCTGTCATTGTAAAGGGGCAGTGTCAAATAGTAGTATAAAGTTTTTTGAAAATATTCAGATGATGGGAAATTGAAAATCAATGTGCGTGCCCGAAACCCTGGATTCCTCCTACAGATTGAACGATATCTGTTACAATTCTATTATGGATGTGGAACGTAAAAAATTACTAAGTGATTTTTGAGTAACTCAAAATCTTCAATCAAAATTAGTTATTTTAGTTACTTTTGCATATGAATGGAATATATGGATATCATTTTTGTATTTTTATATTTTCCTAGATTGACATATTTTTTTCTTTAGAATTACACTACTGTTTTTATGATAATTGATCCCAATAATTGATATCGTCTCAAAAAAAAATCCTTGACATTCAAAAGTCCACCGTCACTTTCATTCTGGATTGAAGCCTTATTGACCCAATTTGATTCTTTCCAATTTAAGAGAAAGAAATATTTTCATACTGATTGAATTGATTCGTTCCAGAAAGGTGCAGGGATTTTGACTGGAAAAATTGTTTCTGGAATTCTACCAGCACTAAGTGCACCGGTGAGTACCAACATTCACTCACATTACAGAATACAGAAAAACAGTTTTGGGTAGGAGGTGAAAAAGTAAACATATTTCGTAAACAAACCATCTCATTGCAGTGAAGTAAAAAAAAAGCAGTTTTACAGATTCAAATCAACTGATCAGAATTTGACATGAATTTCCATTTTCATTTTCGAATCGATTGAGATGAATCAGACACTGAATGTTGAGTGAAACTCACTTCAATCTATTATAACAGTGAAAATCGCTCCTTTTACGCACAAACGCGCAGATAAACAGACAGAGAAAAGTTCAAAAAATCATTGTTTTGAGTTCTATCGATCCAGAAAATGAAACAGAATCAGAAAATTATGTTATTTTGTTTGGATTTGATTGGCACATTCAACCAGTTACTTTACTAATTTGAGCAACTTTTCATTGGTAGCAGAACCTCACATCGAATAATCTGAAAATGTTTTTTTTTCTATACCAAAACATCAATATTTTTTCGTCGCTGAACATTAGGTTAGGTTAATCATCAGTTATTATAATCTCCTATTGACGAGTTAACGCCAAAATGGGGTTCATGAAGTTGAAAGCAGAGAATAAATATTACATCTTCAAAATACAAGATATCATGATGATTATTTAAGTAAGATTTTCTATATTCCATTCTGAATGAATATGTAAAATTCCTATTAATTTCCTTAAAATATTCAAACGAATGGAGCATTGCGACAGATAACGATGAGCACTTTCATTCTAATTTTATTCAAACTTTCACAGTGGAAATAATGGAATGAACTGTTCATGAGTGTTCAACCAAACATTTAATATGTATAGCTATAGACAGGCATCGATCAGTAACACTATCATCTCATGTATTGACGACTAATTAAATCAATCATTGCTTCACAGTCGAATGAGAAACAATTTTCTGGAAATATCCCAACTCAAGGACTTGACTGCAATTCGTTTCTCCCATTCCAAAAACTGTCAGTTATTTCGAAAGTTTCGAAACTTACATTTATGAAAAAGCTGATTAAAGGATTATAATAGATTAACTGATGTGCTTGAGAGTCGATCATATTGATTTGAGATTTGTTGTGATGATTTGAGATGTGATTTCACGAGTTACATAAGACTGAACATATTATGGAAAAAGTAGAATATCACTCCAGAACTCGGTTCATTTCACGAATTTATGCGAGAGACTAATAGATTCAATTATATTGATGAAAAATGTAGGGTGTCTCCAGAGCCTCCAATAGATTGAAGATGTCGCCAGAACACTTAGTGACACGATTATCATCAACCTCAAACTAGTCCGTTTCGTCTTTGACCAATGTGTCATAATGATCAGATTCAACGCCAGAACCACAGTGAACAATGACTGCATGAAGATTATAATAATGGTCTGCTAGATTGAAATTATCAACTATTTCGAACCTTCGTTAGAGTTTGGTGCTTCCGTCATGTTTGAAGATCATCAGTGTTATCATTAGATTGACTGGTGCCTCAACTATATTTGTTTTCTTGAAATGGTCAGTCAGTTTGGCGCATGTTTGGTAATTTACTTGATCTTCACCTGTTAAAAGTGCCATTTGCAGATGATTCAGCAATAAGCTTCGCACGGACTGGTTTTCAGTCATATTAGGAAACGCTAGTTGAAGTTCCAGAAAATCACATACGTTTGCTACCTCTTGAACATTTACTTCAATGTAAGCAAGTGAGGATTTTTGCAGCAAAAGATCTACAAACACATAACGAGATAGACTGTACGGAATTATTCAATCCAGAGCGGTCGGAAGTATTGATTCTGCTATTATTTTGCTCACGAAGAGCAATAAGAACCCCAGGAATTCGGATCAATACTCTTGTTGTCCTAACGAGTATGTAGTGTACTTCAAAGACTCCAGGAAATCGGTTGGTGGGAAAGATGATACATTCTTACGAAACTGCAACTGCACGAAGAATTGTTTGAGTTTGGTGAATAAGTAGGGAACATTCTCGTTCTCGTTCATCATTAAAACCTCATTCTTGAAATTCTTCGTAACGAACAACACTTGTGAAATGCTATTCTTGTAGCAAGTGTTTCCTAAATTATCTTATTCAATTAGGAATAAATTTGAATACTCAATAAATACAATTTTTTGAAGGCCGACACTGGTATGATGGATAATAAAAAACCACCTCAAGAAGGAGTATTGGATTCCGGTAGTTTCTTGGGCGGTCTCCTCAAAACAGTTTTAGGAGCCAGCAGTGGGAGTGGGGTGAGTTGATTATTTCTAAATACACTTCTTTCTTCATAATATTTTTCTTTCACCACAAAGCATTTGATACAACATTGCATGAGCTCATTTTGCATCTGCTCTTATGTCTTGCGCTACCCAATAAAATAGTTGAACAACTGATACTACTCTGGCGAACTCGCTTCAGCATAACATCAGCTCAGGCTGAAGTCTGAACACGATGGTTCACTATCAGAAGGAAAGTATTTCAATGACACTTCATCAGTCAACTTCCCTTTTGTGTCTTGCTTTTGCCATTGTCTTCTGCACTCAGGAGTACTCGAGGATATAACAGTGGCACCTCCGGAAATCGGAGGCATAAGGTCACCCATCTGTATGGACAGTCTTACACTTCATGCCTCTGAAAAAATGAATCTCCAACAGTCCTTAAGGGTGGTGGGAGAATGTGCAACTCGTAGATGGAACCATCCTGCACTATTTGTATGCCGGAGAGACGTATACCTACCTTGGTTTGTAACAACGCCACTCACAAGAGGTAACAGCATTGAAGAACTTCTTTCACGACAAGTGTCAGCACAAACTTCAACAGATCTGGTCATCTAAATTGTTGAGAAACAACAAAGTCTTTGTTATGAATATGATCACCGTTTCAAACTCACTCTTCATTGTTTGGAGTAGTGAAATAGACCCGAGAGTAGCTCTAGCAACTCGACGTGAAAAGTCGAAAAATTATGCATCTCCATATATGAGTTTGCATCCCAAATTATCAGTTACACGATTGTATTTCTCCCCGCAAAAAGGAAGCCATGACCTTTTGAGTTTGGAGTGTTAACATGACAGAATGGTACTGGATGTAGGCTGTGAAGTCATCAGGAGTTTGAATTTCTTTCTCTCGCCCTGGATCATGAGAAAGCAGGATCTGAAGTATTTTTCTTCAGTGCAGCTGCCTGAGCTGCTGATGAACTTGGTTTAGTTTTCGACACTGAACGAGGTGATCACAACTTTGTCACCGAGTAGAAACCTGTCCTGCAAAAGGTCTATGTAACTAACGGCTCTTTGTTATAACATTTATATCTTGAAAACAATGAGGAATAATAACTACCGCACAGCATACGCCAAGAAAATACTTGTTACACCGAAAACTTTTTTTATTTTAGGGAGGTCGAATTGATTTAGTTCAATCCATAGTAACCTCTGTGAAGTCACTCATCATGTCGTCATCGAAAAGTCATTGAGTACAATGGAGGACCGAACACTATCAATGAATAATTCAAACCTTACTAATGGCGGATTTTTTATAATGAAAATAATTTATGATAATAATAAATTCCAGTAACTACAAATGTGTTTTTTATATTTTTATGTCGTGAGTTGTATGTATTTGGTAGACTTTTTCAATTGTAGTGAGATTTTCACTAAACAGTTCCACGGGGGTGTCTCTACTAGAGTAAAGACACGCCCGAAGCCAGTTCAAATTGAATGGGTTATATTATTAGGAGACATCAATTTTTGGAAAATGAAGGTTTTATCTAGCTTCCTTTCCATCATAATACAAAAATGTTTGAATTTCCATTAGAAAGGAAAAAAGCAATCAACATAAAGAAATAACACTAAATAGAGATTTTTTGGTAATGGCAAAGAAGTAATTTTCGAACACAAACTGGAAGAAACAGCCGTGTCGAAAAAGCTACTTTTATATAAAAGTTGAATTGAATTGTGGGGAATTACCACTCATAATTTAAAATTGTACCTAACATTTTTCAGAAGAACGATCAAGTGGATTTTTTTTTACTATTGAGGACAATAATGATGTCGAAGTTCAAAAATGAAAATTCTCCAGAATAATTTCTTCACTCAAAACTCAATAGATATATCAATTGCAAAGACTATGTTTAGCAAATCTTCAAAAAATTATCGAGAAAATCATGATCTACTAATTATTATTGTTGAAGAATACACCATAGTGAAGTCAACGTGTGAAGTCAAGAAAAAGTTTTTTGAAATTCCTGATGATGAAACAAAATATAAATTGTGCACATTGCAAGTGACATATTCACATGCCATGCCCCCTGTTCTTAAATATCAACAATATCATTCAGCTAGCTTGAAGTGAAATAAGCTGAGCATATAACAATAATGAGATTGAAAAATATCACGAAGAGATACATTCCATGTTGGTGCCTGATACACCTTATGGAAACATTTTCCAATTGGAAATTGTTTAAAATATTTTTCGAATTGTGACAGAGTTTACCAAGTCTATATGTGATCAGGCAATTTATTGTATAATATAATATCTAGTGAATTAGGGCATCTCCTTAATACCTGAACTTAGTATCATATAGGTTGACGACATATCTTGGTGTAAAGTGAAATCATTGTTCACAGACCGCAAACTTCAAAATTTGAAAGTGTTAGTAGCTTTGAAATTCTATATGTTTTGAATACATCAGTGTAAGTCTGTCTAGAGTGCGAACCTTATAAGGCAGATGCCATATCAACGCTTCAAGTCAATTTGGGCTCAATAAAACGTCAGTAACCGATCATATACACCAATTTTTTAGATAATCTGATTGATAGGTGACTGAATTCAATTTATTGATTCAACAGTGGTCGCACCAGTGCTCACATATACTCAGATATGTATCAAGAAACAGATACTCTTCCTCTACGTATCCAAAAAATACACTTCAAATTGAGATTTGCATTACAAAAACGCGACACTTGTTTTGATATACAATAGCATCTTCGGGCATCAAATACTGTTTGAAAAAATCTGTCTTGTGCTTTCTCAGTAATTCGGATCATTATATCTATTAATACCTAATGATTTTCTTCATGATGAATTCAATATCTACGCAATTCACCTCTTTAGGAACAACTGATAAAACTGAAGAATAATGAATACAATTTCTACCGTAGTCATCGTTTTTCCTACTTTTAAGATCTATTACCAATTTTATCATTGCATTTCCATTCAAATCACCAAATTTATTGTCTGTTTTTTTTTGAAAAATGTTCTTCTGGATTGTCCGATATGGAATTTTGGACAAGAACCCCAAGCCAAGATAAAACTAGAGTTTTATCTTCATTCTCCTTATGACAAACTAGAAGCCCAATTGTAAGCGTTAGAGTCACTAGGAGTTACAAGTGGAAATTATGCAGCTATCTCATTTCCCTCAGTAGAGTCGGCGTTACCTGATGAGCTGTTGACAGTTTTGAAGAGACATCAGAGTTCTGACTTGAAAAATCAAAAAACAGATTGATTCAGAAAGTTTGAAATATATTGATTATTTGAATTTTCTGTTGGATTTCCTGAAAACTGAAATGAAATCAAGAGATCGCCTGAATGTTGCACAAAAAGGATTTGGAAAGGACAGAGAACAGACTAGAAACAATAATATATTTCGAAAGCAGGTGAGCCTGAATTATGTATCGCTACTGCCGTCTATTCAGTGAATACGAAAGATTATTCATAAGAAAGTGTGAACATTTTTTGTTCATTTTGTGACACGACATCACATGCAACTCATGATTGTTTGAAGGCTCAAAAACTTTCAATTGATGAACGAAAAGCTTGCCTGTAAATCTTCAGTTGAATGTTTCATTTGCTCTAAAAATCATTATCCACTTTTATGTTCTGAGTTACAGGTGCAAAATGGAAAGTTTGATATTCCAGACAAAGTTGAACAAGTTGAACAATAGTGAATGTTTCTCATAACATTTCAATATTCCAGCAGAAATGAAAACATGAGATAATCATGAAAAGGGTGTTCTCAAGCATTTCAACGAGACAGTTTTTTGGTGTCCAGAGGAAAGATATAATGAAGAAGTAGCCTGGCCAAGAATAATGTTCACAACGAAAGAACTCAATGCTATTGGTAAGCTGGAGGATTAGGACAGAGGATGGGAGAAACTAGAAACTATAAAGGAGGTTGTAGAAAACAGTAAAAACGTGAAAAATTTCTTACCACACCATGCTGTTATAAAAGATGTCAGTAACACGACAGAGGCAAAACTGGTATTTGATGCCTCAGCTGAAACCAAAAAGAGATTATTGTCAATAGCTTATACAGTATTCGACCCTATTAACAGAATAAAGCAAAAAGCAGTATTTCAAGCCGCTGCCGTTATAAAAACACTAGAGAGCAAAATAGTTCCGTTGGAAAATTCAGTGGCGGAGCTGAGAGATGAATTGAAAGAAATACAGCAACAACACGAAAACAAAACCAAAACATTGGAAAAAGCATTAAGACAGATTGATAGATTGGATCAAGCAAGTCGCTCTAATTGTTAAAGAATATTCAACATAAAAGAGAAAAATAAAGAAGATACTAGAGATGAAATCATAAAAATGTTGAACTCCAAAATGAATATGGACATCACCCCGAATAAAATGATGATTTGCTATAGGATTGGAAGGAAAAATGACAGCAAACCCAGAGGAATTTATCTCAAAGTAATCAATGAGGAGATAGAGCAACAAATTTATTCGCAAAAGGAACTTCTGAAGGGCTCAGGAATAATAATACGCGAAGACCTAACCAAAACAAGGGTTGAACTTCTCAACGAAGCAATTGCCAAGTTCGGAATAAAGCAAGCATGGACTGATTCCGGAAAAATATATCTGAAGGCCAACGATGAGGTTATAATGATAGAAGTAGAATGGACTCAGAAAAAATAAATTGAATTATGAATTCCAAAATGTATAATTAGGCAATTAGCATGTTTTTTTTTCTTTTCTCCATAATAGATAGTACCGTATTTCAATTTTTTCCTTTATGTTTTCATGTATATAATTTCTACAGTTATAAATATATATTCATTAGGGGGCCTCACTCCCCTCTCCAATTTGTATCCTAGAGTGATGCTCGAATTAATCAACGAATTGGATAACCAAACCATAGAGACTGAAATATGTGATAATTTCCATAATTACTTCAAAATGAGATTGGATAACGAAACTCATACTCTGGGAGTGATACACTTCGATATACGGGGTCTACGAAAGCACATGGATGAGCTACTTGTTTATATACAAATGGATAAAGAATCACTGGATATACTTGTCCTATCAGAAACAAGAATAATTGAATCGGTTAGTAACTTTACAACCCCTACCTATACTCAATATCACTATATATTTATCATTGCCTGATAAGAATGTTCCATCAAAGAGCAGATTTCACGCAGAAACATTCAAGAGATACTAGATCAAAAATGAACCAGGACGTAGAAATTGAATTCTTTAATAAAACGGTTACCCAGAATTCTTTTTTCTTTTATGGTCCTAAAATATTCAACGTCTTACCTAAAAATTCAAAAGATATAACATCCTTCAAACTATTCAAAAAAGAGGCGAAAAAGTATGTACATAATCATCCACTACATATACACTACCGAATTTTAACAATAATACCACAATAAGTTGTTATACTCCAATCGAAATGATTCAAATTATCCAATCTCATTTGAACCCCAATTTTAAATTCTCTCTTTTATTCTGAAAATAAAATTGAAAAATTAAAATTGAATTGTATACAAAAGCCTGAAAATGCTTTACGTAGTCGATTAAGGAAAGAGTATCTAGCAGAATTGGTCTATATAGGTAAAAACGTATAGACAATCTGAAAGAAGGTGATATTGTTGTCATTGAAACAGGTAACAAGAAGCGAACTGACTGGCCTTTAGGGAAAATTTCTAAACTATTTCCAGGAAGAGACGGGATTCATAGTTGCATAGTTGCAAGAGTCGAATGGAAGCGCTGAAAATTTATTCGACCAATTCAAAGATTATATTCTCTGGAAATCGAAACTGGAGGAAAGAACGAAGAAAAGAAGAAGTTCGAGGAGGAAAATGATGAGCAGAGCTCTGAAGAGAAAAAGAGTCGGTTGAGGCCCAGCTGTCACCAAATATGGCCGTGAAGTGAAGAAACCAGATCGCTATGGGTTTTGATTGTTTCTTCCATCACATTTTTGGTTCAATTCGTAATTCTTTTTGAACGCAATTGCAAATGAGGAAAGAATGTTAGATCTTCATTACATTACATTACATCACTCATTTCCAAACCCTGTATATTGTTCGTATTATGAAAAACGAAAAATATTGTTGAATGTCAGAATAAAATGATGAGTTAGAAAGTCAAAAGTATATCTTTCAATTTTCCATTCACAACGTGAAACCCGTCCCAAATATTACAGCTGCTACTTCATGTTAGGTTAGGTTAGGTGAGTGGGTCTATTTGAACCTCCACTGCAACCCGCAAACGTTTACTGTGACCAGCTTCTCAACAAAGATGATTAGTTTGTAT